GGCAGGTAAGCGGCCGGCGCGTCGGGGCCTCGGGTGAGCTAGCTCCATCGTCGCGTCGCGTCGCGTCGCTCGCTCGGTTGTTCGGATGGCGCTCGGGCCTCCTTGGCCCCGAGCGGCCGCCGCGAATAATCGCAAGCTCCCTTTGATTGGAAACTTGCGGATTTGTCGTGAACCTCAGGGTCCAGCGGAGGTGCCGAGAAGGTTTGGAGCGGATCGAGTTGGAGCTGGAGGACAATGAAAAAATGCAAGAGCAACTGCAGGCGGTTCGGCTTTGGTTGACGGAGGCTGAAGGACTCTTGTCAGAGATCGAGCCGAGCGGCGGCGCGGCACGACCGGAGGTACGAGCGCCGTCCGGCTCCGCGGCAAAAGCTCGCCGGCGAACAAATTCCGCGCGGGCGATCGCGAAGACTTGCAAAGTTTGGAGAGTGGAGCAACGTGGTGCGCGTCGCGTCTGCCCCGCTTTCAGGCCGTCCGCAGCCAGTGGAGCGTCCGCGAAGCGCTCGTCCAGGCCGTTCGCGAGAGGCTGAAGGCAAAGTACTCGGAATCCGACGCCGTCCCGGCGGAGATCGACGGCCAACTGCGGGAGGTCCAAAAGGCTCTGGAGCGAGTTGGGGCCAAGGTAAACAAACAGCTGACCCGTGGTGTGTCCATTGTAGGTCATCCGGGTGAGGGGGGGGTGGGGGGGGGGGTCCATCCACACAAGTTGAGATATTTCAGGTATCACAAATGCAAAAGAAAAAAGAGTGAAAGTTGTGCTTTCACAAAGAGCTCTTTTTCGGCGAATTGTTCTCGGAGAAAAGGCGTGTCATCAAGAAACTTGTTGGACTGCTGCCGACTACAGAACGGCCAAAGGTAGAAATGTCCTTGGAGCTTTGGAGCTCCATTTTCTGCAGGCCTTCACATTGGAGTCAAATGGTCAAAAATGGCCCGCAGTTGGACAACGACGACTGGCACTAAAATGAGTTGAAGGCCGAAGATTTCGCTTTTTGCCCCATTTGACGTCGCAGGTTGAAGAGGCCGCGCAGAAGAGCGGCCCCGCGCGCAGAATCGCGGCCGAACCGCCGGAGACGCGAGCCGGCCCGAGGTCGGTGCGGGAGAGGCCGCGGGGACCGAGTTCCGACGCGGCGGACGCCCGACGCGCTCAGGAGGTGAGCGCAGCTCCAGGAAGCCGCAATGCCAAGCGCGGCTCCGTTCGCCAAGCGCGCGCGCCGTCGCGTCTGCGAGCGGCCGCCGTGCGATGAGCTCGACGGGTGGCGCTCGCGCGGGGCCCGGAGGCGGACGTGCGGTCGCTCGCAGAACGACCGCTGGAGGTGCAGCGGCTCCGCGCGCAACTCTCCGAGCGGGCGCAGCGCGAGACGCAACTCGTCAGCAAGGCGGCGCCGAGCGTTTTTCTCGCTGGTTCGGTTCATCGAGCCGCGTCCGGCAAAGTCAACCCACCCGACAACTTGGCGCTTGAAATTGATCCTGAGGGAAAACGTCGGCTTTGACGGTCGCCGTCGCTTTGTGCGCAGACGCAAGCTTGGCTGGAGGAGCGTCGGGAAATGATCCGCAGCTGCGAGAGCTGGATGTCGGAATCGCGAGCGTGGCTGGCCACCCCCCGCACGTACGCCACCTCCAAATGTCTGAGCGAGCACGCCGGAGCTCTGCAGGTCAGCGGCGGCCGCCAAATCGGACCCCGCCTCCCGCCCGCCGTGTCGCAGGACGACGTTTCCCTCCGCCTCTCCCCTTTTTGTGCGGTGACGTCGCAGACGGTGCTGAACGACGCCGCGCGGATCCGCGAGACCCTGGGGGCTTTCTCTCCCGCCCCGGAGCGAATGTCCGACGCGGCGGAGGTCTCGGCTCTCGGGGAGCGGCTGGCGGAAGCCGACCGGCAGCTGGCGGCCGTTCGGGACGGCTTGGCCCGACCTTTGGCTCAACTGGAGCGCGCCGCCGCCGTGAGTCCCCCTCGGATAAGCTTTCGCCGTCACAAGTCTTGCCCTCGCCCACGTCCGCTCGTGTCGTCTCGCCGCTCCCAAGGAGGTGAGGGCCATGGAGACCGAAGCCGGGGAGATGGAGAAGGACGTCGCCGAGATCCGGAGCGCCTTCTGTTCCCCGGAGACGTTGTCCGGCCCCGACGAGAAACACCTGAAGGTGACGCCGTGCGCTTCGTGTCCTCGGCGGCAGCGAGAGGCGCCGTGGGGAACTCAAGAGCGCTTTGGCCGCACGCAGATGCTGGAGCGGAGGATCCGCTCCGTGAGGAGCGGCGTCGCCGACATGCAGGAAGCCAGATCGCGCCTCCGTCTTCCGGAGAAGGCGGACGAGACCTTGGCCGTCTTTGGGCTCGTGGATCGGCTCCAGACGCTGCTGCCGGACCTGGACCAGGTTCGGCGCTCAAGTACTCGCCGGGCCGGCCGCGACAAAGTCACCGCATGTGTCGCTCTCATTGTAGAAGGTCAGCATCCGGGAAGCCGAACGTCAGCGGGCGACATCCCCGACGCAACCGGAGCTGCCCGCCGGCCCCGAAGAGAGCGAGGTGAGCCGGCGCCGTCCCGGTTCTCCTTCTCGCGAGTCCGACGGAACGAGCCGCTGTCCTGTCGCCGCTCAGGCGGACGACGACGCCCGGCCGGTCCGCGTCGGGGTCGCCCCCGCCGAGGATGACGCGCCGCGACGCGCCGAGGCCCCGCCCAAGATTACGGAAATGGCCGCGCCTGAGCACGGTCGCTCCGGGAAGGCCGACGACATGCCGGTAAGAGCCGCTCGCCCAAATCGGAATTTTGCCTCCACGCTGTGGGGCTTTGGTTTTCTTTCCGCAAAAACTGCACCAAAACCTTGTCATTTATTTGCCGATTGGATGCGATTGACGGTCAGCATCTGATCGTTCCGCCATCGAGGGGGAGCGCACGCGGCATTTGTCAGTGCGCTGCTGGGCGGTCTTTGGAAATAGCTTTGATGTCTACAACGCTTTGAACGTATACGTGTTCTAAAATTGCCGTTACAGAGCGCTGGCGTCAGGCTGAAAACAAATCAGGCTCATGTAGAAGATCAAAATTGCATGACAAAATATGTTGAGCATTTTTCCTTTTTTCTTTCATTTTGACTGAGCTCTTTCAGTTACTTTTCGTTGGTTTTCACAGCAAGTGTTATTGGATCGATCGAGATCGATAGAAGAGAAAGAAGCATTTGTTGTGCAAAATGAAAACAAAATCACTCTGTAATCGAAATGAATTTCACAATGAATTGACAAAAACGAAAACAAAGGACATTTCCCCTCCGGTTTTTTTTTCCAATTTTCTTCATCAACACTTTTGGTTTTCCTTCTCCGCAATAACTTTGTTCCAAACGGGGTCAGGCAGTTTTTGTCCCTTGCTGCGGTGTTTTGGAAACGCTTGCGCTTCTCGGGTCCGGAATAGACGCCGCACAATGAAAGGGGCTTCCAATGGGTGGCAAGACGCTAACCTGCGAGATTGGTCGCCTTCAACGCCTCCTTGTCAGCCTCCACGGCGACAGCCGCCGCTGACTCGGACTCGCCGTCGGGCCGTTTTCACATTTGATGGCGAGCATTTTGGAGCCCGTGCGTCTTGTCTCCGCAGCCGGGGCGCCACGGCGGCCGGGGCGAGGCGGGGGCCGCCGGGGAAAGAGCGGAGGCGGGCGCCGGAGGTGTTTTGTGGTGGCTCTGGGGCGCTTTGCCGGCTGCTTCGCCAGAGGTAACCCAATGAGACGCAGACCGTCTCCATTTTCTTCTTGAGTCTCTCCGCCGCTTCTCCCCGAATGGCCTTCGCACTGCACGCCACCCGACGGGCGGGCCGCCCTTCGCCGCTCCCCCCCGGCAGTCATATTTTGCTTTCTTTTTTGGGGCGTTTAATGCCCCGTTTCAATGTTTTTTCATCGGAATTTCTTTTTTTATGCCCTCCCCAGCCGCCGTATGAAAGGGACGAGCGGCGCGCGCTTTTGCCCCCGCTCACCTGGCTGCTTGCTTTGTTTAGGGTTCCGGCGGCACCGAGCGGAGTTCCTCGGAGGATTCGTCAGCCGCCCCCGAGTCTTCCCCCCGGTGTCCGAACGACAGCGGTCGCACGGTAAACACCTCCGCCTCCACCTCCGCTTCCTCTTCGGCCTCCAAAAGCGCGGCCGCTTCCCAGCAGAGATGTTTGCTCTGCTAGCCGTAGAAAGTCTTGTCAAGGCCGCGGGCGGGCCGCTCGCCTTTCGATCCCGAGTCGGAAAGGCCGCCTTTCCCCTTGGCTAACGCCCCGTCGACCAAAGTCAGCGAGGGGGGGCGGGTTTGAACCCAAGCTGGAGCTGCGGCGTCGCTCGAGGCTTCGAGACCAAAGGACAATGAACACATCCCACCACTTTTACGATGGCACCGACGCGCCCGGAATCCATCCGAGACGCGCCGGGACTGTTGGACAAGGCGACGACCTCGCCGGTCCTGAAAGCGACACGCCACGAACAGTCGTCGTCCTTCATTGGGTTATGCGCTGTGAAAGTGTAAATAATGCCGTCCGATTCCCCGAAGAAGGAAAAAAAAACAAGGTGTATTTGCATGTGGTCGTCATTCGCCTGTTTTTCGTCTGAATCATTTTGCCGAAACGCAAGACGGAAGCGATTTGGGGTGAAGCCGATGCCGTCGCACTATGAATGCTTTTGTAGGCCCGCGCATGAATTTTGAGCGCCGATGCGTCGCTTTAACGAAATCGACTTGACAACTTTGTCGCGTTTGGGCGGCGAGGGCATTGGCTCGTGAGCGAGGGGCCGGCCGGCTAAAATCAAGCTGGAGCGCGATGAGTTCAGCATGTTAGCTGGCGTCCCGCACGGACCTGCTTTCTTCTTCCTTATTTTGGGGGTCGCACTCATCGACACGTCCCGCGTTGCATTTTCTGATCTTGTTTGCTAATATGCTAATCAGCCGTTTGCATTTCAACACCGTGCAAGCATGAATGGAAGTTGGCGCGATGACGTTTCGGCGCGGCGGCATCGCCGGCGCTCTTTGACGTGTTTACTCATCGAACTGACCGCCGGCGACGGGTGAGCCGATCGTTCCCCTTTCTTGCCGCCGCTACGCGGAATGCCCGCGCGGGGAGTTCTTTTCACCTCCCGGCATGAAGTCTTACAAGGTCTGCACGAGTGACGTCTTGCTGCCCTCTTGGCCGTGTACTCGGGTGCCAATAAACCAGTAACATTGATCCACCTCTGAAGTCTCTTCCTGTCTCTCTTTGCCCCTCGCGGGACCAATAACCAAATAACACTCACACATTTGCTTGGACTTTTTTTTTTTTCCCTTTCCAACACATAGACAACCTCTGAAATGGAACGGGGCCCGTAACATTACAAAGTCAACAACTAAACCCATAGGTGTCAAACCGCCGTCCTGCATGTTTTCCAAGTCTCCCTGTTGCAGCACACCTGATTCAAATGAACGGGTTCAATGTCAGGCTTCCGCAGAGCTTGCTGCTGATATGATCATTTGAGTCAGGTGTGTTGCAACAGGGAGGCTTGGAAAACATGCAGGACGGCGGCACTCCCTCCAGGACCTGAGTTTGACACCTATGTAAACCATCTGCAAGTCAGTTGACATCTTTGTGGGTTTCATTGAATGTTTTTATTTTTTTCACTCAATTCCTGCTGCTGTTTTGAAACATTTTTGGCAACTTTCTGACGGATGTCGGGATGGAAATTCATGCAGTTCATGAAGGGGGGGGGCGGGGTCGACAGTTTAGCTGGACTCCAAACTGAAATGGCATGTTTCCAGGAGAATACGTTTTCTTTGTCCAACCGAAGTGCTTCTACTTCGCCATAATGGCCAGCAGATTTTAATGTTCACATGTACTGACAAAATGGCGACGGACTTATGCGTTGTCATAAGCACGTCAACTTTGCGTGTGCGTTCAATGGAACGTGTGAGGCAAGAGGTCAGCAATTTCTCTCAAGCCCACAAGAGGGAGACAGTACGCACTGCTTCAACGAGTCGACGAGAAATCGCCCAAACGGCGTTTTATCCGGACAATGAATTCCGTTCGGACATTTTTTTTTTTTTTTTTGCTTTGATTCGTGAGCGAGGTCTTGGGAGAAGAGCGCCGCCGCGTTGTGCCAGACGACTCAAGTCAAATCGATTTCTTTATCACAGAAAAGTCTCGGGGCAAAAAAGTCGAGTCCCTTGCCTCCAAGCAGCACTTCGGCAAATTGACAACAAAAAAAGAAGCTGCGTCGTCCAAAACGACGGGACAAACTTTTATGAACTGGTACTTCAGAATCTGATGTTGATAATTACTTTTGATTTGACCGAACCCATTTAATCCCCCAAATTTCCCAGACGTTTAAAAGTCAAAATCAGGTGTCATTGGTTGCCCATTTAAGTCATCAGTCCTCAAAAAACGTAGAGCCCTTTGAATTAAATCCCTGTTGTCCTTCACAAATGTGACCTGTGCGACTAACTTTCCAAAGTTTTTTTCCTCGCGTTTGTTTTGAGCGTCGGAGAGGGTTAAGCTTGATCACCGCACGCGCTCACACTCATGAAACTTGGACGTCTTGATTTTCGTTTGGGGGCGGGGCGGGGTGGAAGGGTCGACTCCGCCTCGGACCGCAAGCCGGAAGCGGCGCACCTTCGCGCCGCCCGCCGTTCCGTGCCATCTCGTCACCCGCGTCAGGTGTGCCATTGCTTTGCGTGTGCGCAGGACGCGCCGCTGCGGGCGGAGGCGGCTCCACTCGGTCCGGCGGCCGGCGAGCCGAACGCGTTGGAGGCCGGGACGGACGACGACCAAGTGGCGCCGCAGCTGGTCGCCTGCCAGGTAGGCCGCGCCCACGCTGACTTTCCCGAGGTCCCGAGGAGAAAAAGCGACACCTTAAGTACAAGACGAATAGAAGTCGAGCCCGTCACCGACATGCACTGACTGCTCCAAAAGTTCGCGCCCTCCAAATGTTCCCAAAGCAGCGATATTGGCTTTCGGCGGATGGCAAATTCCGTCGTGCTTGTGCAGTTGACAAAAGTCCACCAGTGTGTCGCTGTCGCAGGTTCAAAATTCATTAAGTCACTTGCTTTGGTGGGGGGGGGGGGGGGGGGGCGGCGCCGGCCGCGACCGGTACATGATTGACAAACGCGGCCGGTTGTAGCAGAATATTTGGTCCGCCTCAATAAGCAACCGGCGGAACCGAGAAGCAACAGCTCCTCCTTGTGGCAAAACTAGAGCACAGGTCAACTTCAACGGCTGTTCCGCCTTCTCAAGGTTCACGTGTTTCGATTGCAGTCTTGTCTGCGGCACCGGACGTCGTTGGCGCTCAGCAGTTTGCGGTTGCCGCTTGTGATCAGAGTCGTTGCGCTCATCTTTGATCGTTCTCATTCAGAGTTGGTTTTGTACAATTCACGAGGGGACGGGCAAAGAATGGGAACCTGGAGGGCCCAGAGAAGCATTTTAAAACGGTACGCGTCAGCTCCGATCGTTAACAGGCTGCCGAAGTGCGTCGGCGTGCCTTCGCGTCAGGCTGTTGCTCATAATGTCGCGCGCGCGCCGATGCGTATGCGGAACGGGTCGATGGCGGGAGGTCGGTTGATCGAAAAGTAGATGTTCAGTGAAAAAGGTTTGGGCGCCCCTGCGTTGGATCCTTGTGATGTGGTGTGAAACGTTCTGTAAAGCGCTTTCACTGTGGGGAAAGCGCGATCCAAATCACGATGGATCATCTTGTATTGGGAGCGAAAGAGCGAGGAGGAGGCCGAGCTCCGTTTCCTCTTTCGACTTGCTTCCTTTCCACGAACACAATTCGAGATCCATTTTATTGCGGATGGCCACCTTGCATTGAACAGCACGATTGTATTGCGTCGTATCATCTTCTCCAAACTTACGTCGGGCATTTTGCCACTTTGTCAAAGCGCAAAAAACGCTGAAATGTTCTTTCTCTGTCTGAGTGTCGCTTAACATGAAGCGGAGCCGTTTGCCTCTCCCGTCACTGGACACTCGATTAGGGACCCCGCCGACTGACGGGATGTTGAGCGGCCACCGGTCCGTTGCTCGTCCCCACTCGTTCTCCCGGCGGCCGGCCGACCGTCTGTCAGAAATGCGATGCCTTTTGTCCACGTTCCGCATCACGTGGCCGCGCAAACGTCAAGTCGCGTGGGACGTTTGGAAGGTCGTGACGTCGGCTTTCGTATGGCGGCCTCAGGAGCTGCTGTCGGAGCTGGAGCGCAAGGTGCGCTCGCTGTCCGAGTCGGGCCGCCGCCGCCTCCCCGTCCGCCCGCCCGGGGACGGCGGCGCTCGAGAAGAGGCCGAGGGCGGAGAGACCGCGCGGGAGGAGGAGGAGACGGCGGCCGAGGGACTTTGGTCCAAACTCGAGATCGTCAAGGCGCAGCTCTTCCACTTCCGGAGCCTTCTGCGGCACAAGCGGCCCACAGTGACCGAGGTACAGCCGGGGGGGGGATTTTATTGGACTAAACTAAAGCTAAGAAGCCGCGACCTATTTGACTTGGACATTTTCATTTTATAGACTGACTTTAACGTCATTGATTCATTTCATGCCCAAGAAATAATGTCGTCAATAAATGGCTCTTTGTGTCATTTACTTCCTGGTCGCGAGCGTACCGGAGCCCGTCCCCCGCCGTCTTCGGGCAGTCGGCGGGGGACACCCTGAACCGGTTGCGATCCAATCGCAGGGCACACCGAGACCAAAAACCGTCCGCGCTCGCACTCGCGCCGAGGCACACATTTGGAGTGTCCAATCAGCCTGCCGCGCGTGTTTTTGGAATGTGGGAGGCAAGCGGAGG